AAAATCTTTAAAAAACCAAACAAACAAACAAGGAACTACTCATTTTCATGCACGATCATTCATGACACATTTAGACCTGAGGTCACACCCACCTCCCCGAAAGCTGTTTCAGGCAGTTAAAGTCACTCTCGACCCAAAGCAGTAGAGAACGCAAGAGCAGGAAAATGCAGCTGTGGCCTGGCTAATCATGCACATTCAAATAAACACAACAGATGTGTACTCTGAAAGCAAAATTCAGCAGGCTCTGGTTTTAAAGGAGAACATGCTCTACTTGGGGAACATGACGAGGACACTGAGGCCATTTTACAGCGTCCAGGTTTTACACATAATCAATTCCGCGGAGATGAACTTGTGCAGGGAGGCGAGGAGCATGTATATACCAGTTATATGAGAAAAAGGACATGCAAACGGGGTGAGGATCAGATGGAGAATTCTGAATTTCACTTACTGCCTGCTTTTGCTCCTCCTCCTAGAGGCGGTGAAGACAGTAAAAAGGGCAGAGGGAAAAAGGAGAGAGATTAATACCCATCACCACAAACATTTGGAAGAAATGATAGAAGAATAGGACAAACCAGACCAGGCCCCTGGGTTCAGAGGTCAAAGCCCACACCACAAGAGCATCATCAGCTGGACAGAGCAAATGGCAGGCCCCTGCCCCAGCCCGTTCATTAAATGCTAACTTCTAGAGTTGCAAGGAAAGAACCTTAGAAACCATCTAGTGGGCCGGCAGATTGGCGCATTGGTTAACAGCTGGCTTAGGATGCCAGAGGGCCCCGGTTCGGATCCCACATATGAGGGCCAGTGACACTGCCCACTACAGCTAAGATGCTGAATAACAGCTCGACCTGGAGCTTGGCTGCGGTGAGTTGCTGGCAATGGCGAGTTGCTGGCAATGGCAGGTGGGTTGCCATGGGCTACCGTGTGTAGCCAGCAGCCAGCGTGAGCGGCCGTCCAGAAGCCAGTAACTGATCTGCCTCGCCCGGGAAGAGCGCAATGATGGTGCCAACTTGGGCCAGTGAAGCAACATCCTCCACAACTAGACTGAAGAACAAAAAGGATGGCAACTTGTCTGTTCCCCTTCCCCCAATTCCCCAATAAAAATCTTTAAAAAAAAGAATAAAAGAAACCATCTAGTTCAACTTCCTCGTTTATGCACCAAAAAGTCTTAGAGAGCCTGACTTGCCCAACACGTAGCTATTTAGGGTAAGCGGAAAACCAGCAGCTCAACCATGACTAAAAAGCCCATTTCACCATTCATATTTCACCATTCATAATATTCACAGAGGTTTAGATACATTTATTCAGATAGTGGTCCTCAAGGTGTAGAATATAGACCAGCAGCAGCAGCAGCAGCGGCAGACTTGAAAACCTGTCAGAGATGTGAACTTTGGGCCCCACCCCAGACTAGCTGGATCGAAACTCTTGGCGTAGGGCACAGCAGTGTGTTAAATGAGCCTTTCAGCTGATTCTGATGCCTGCTATTTGAGAGCCGCTGCTCTAAGAAATTCCCCAACTAGCAGTCTGCATGACCAGACTTAGCTCTTCTTTAGTCCCCTTGCCTCCACTGTTTTGGGGTGCTTTGGTGTTTTTCAAAGATACACATGCATCCCCATTCCCCCAGTAAACTGGAAACTGCTTCAGGGCCCAGAGAGGCCTTTCAAACAGAATCCGTGACCTCACTTTTTCATTAATTCAACACAGGTTCACCGACTTGTACTTCTTATGCATAAAGTACTGGAAACACGAGATGGTCTCTAAGTGTGAGAACTTCCAGTGCCAGGGTGCACAGTAGGTGCTTGCTAGCTCTCAGCTATCTGAATGCACCCCAAGGTGCTGCAGACAGAAGCACAATGACGAGATAAACACTCCCGAGTGTCTCTCTGCTCAGTCTGGTGCTCATCAGTCACACTGTTTTTTAATGGGTGTCTTTGCTTTCCTTCTGGGCCTCATCACGGGGAACTATGGTCAGGGACCCTCCACTCTTTGCCCCAGTGTGCACATCTAAGAACTGGTACAATGGTTCTACTGACACTGGATTCATCCCACCAGGCAGTCTTTACCGAACATGTGTGGAGGAAGGATGGCAGCTTCTTGGTCTGCAGATCTGGGTGCAGTGGCAAGAATGATTTCAATAAAGCCAAGGAATTTTAAGATGGAGTATGTAAAAATTTGGAAAAAATAATTTTATTCCTGCAAATGAGAGACATGGACTAAAAACTAAATGGGCATCAAAAAATCTTTTGAGGAGACTCCAGTTTAGCACAGGAAGATGTTCATAATCAAAGCCAGCTGCCAGCTGCCTGGCCAAACCGAAACTCCCAGGAGCCCAGGCCGAGAAGGCCCTGGGCATGAGCTGACGTAGCCTGAGAGGTCAGGTCCGCTAGCTTTTGCATCTGACATGCACGGTTCTAGGTAGAAGGGGCTTGAGTATTGTATTTGGGGAGCCGTTTCCCTTCCTAGTCAGGCTTCCCGGCGGGGCAGAACACTTTTCTCTCACTCACTAAGTAGGGCAAACAGCCCTAGGAGAGTTATTAAACAATGAAAAAAGTGTGTTTTTATCGCTGGCACTAAGTGCTCAAATGGAAATTGAGACGGTGGGGGAGGGAGGGGCCATCCTGACAGGCTGAAATTGCATCTGAGGTCGAAAGACCAGTACGTGTGTAATTTCCTAGAACTGTTCTTAACACACCTCCCTATGCTCAGTGTTTTCTCCAGGTTTGGTATTAGAGATAACATTGCTTTGGTTTGGCAGGATAGGGAAATTGCAGAAAACAATGTTTCACGTTTGCACATTTGGTAGCTGGTATATATACTTTGTCCAAAGGCATGAAATTGTTATAATCTGCAGTAGAAATGTGTCAGGTGAGCATGGGGAGGTGGACAGGACAGCATTTTCAGGACTCACAGGCCGCTCCTGAGCACTGGGATCAGGGTAGGGTGGACTTTGGCAAACTGACTTTGGATGGTGTCGTATAATTTCAACTTACAAAAGTCTTTCAGATAAAGCCCTGAAGGCTCTGTCAACACAGAAAACAACAAAGATATAAGGTCTTAGAACTTTTCCTTATCGATTAGTCAGTTAGGATCAGTAAACACTGACTGATGACAAGGCCTAGAAGCCAACTGGACTTAAAGGGGGTAATAATTCCTTAATTATAAAGTGCAAACCTAGAACTGCTCATTTCGCCTAAAAACACGTGAAACTCTTCCACAGAGGGGATGTCTGGCTAGGTGGCCCAAGTAATGCCACAGCCACTGTAGTCATCTCAATAAAATTTATATTCCAAACCTCATTTGCAAATGAGGTTGAAATTCAAAACTGCAGAATTCATCTGGTAAATGCGTTTCAAAAGCAATATTGGAAAAAATGGAAAATGAGACAGAAACTGAAACACCAACACATAACCATTCCTGGATTAAAAAAGAAGTTGAGGCAGAGGCTATCCACATACTCATTAACTAGGGGAAAAAATGTTAAGGAAAACTTATATTCTGAAAAAATGTAAGGAAATCTTACATTCTAAGTGTCAGTCTATATTATGTCATTAAAGAAAAACACCAAACAATAAGAATGTCCCCAGTACTCTTTGGTCACAGGAATTGAGGTTTTGCCAAATATCTAAACACGACACTTAAAAACTCAATACTTTTTTGTTAAATAAATTGATGATCATTTTTTACCTAGTCTTGTTCCCAAAAAAAAAGGATTTAAGATTTTTGTTGAATAAATTCATAAACAATGGTGACACTTCATATGTATGTGTCTTTAAATGACATTTTTCAGATAATCAGACAAAGTACATAATATTTCACTGACGGAGGAAAATGAAAGAACTCCCTGTGAAATGGGAACTTACTGTGTGGTGTATTTTAATTTATGAGTATGCCAGACCATGTGGCTTGATTGTCCATTTGACTAACTGCTTACAGCTGTTTTATGAGAGAATTAAATGCTAGCAGACTGAACATCAATGAAAGCAACTCAGTCCTTTGAAATTAAAATTAGGATTCTAAAGGGTACTTTTTAATAGTAGGAAAACATCTTTGAAATTTTAATGGAAGTCAGTGATTCCTATGTGTGACCTTTTAGGAGTGCATATAATACACCAATTAAGATTGTAATCCTTTTAGGAAGCTGGACACTAAAGGCATGAGATTTCAACTGTGAATTCTAATCAAGAGATAAAAAGACAACATTCCTGGTCTGTGTCTATAAATTTTCCCTCCCAGTCTGAATGGCCTCAGCCTGTCAGGTGGGTAAATGATAACGTGTTTAAGAACCTGGCAGGGGCAATATGGGGCAGTAGGGTCCTGCTTATTTTACAGAAATTGTAACTGTAAGACAATAGCTGGAAATACAAAGAAACTCAGGGTTTGGGATTAGAGTTCCAGGCATCAGCTCCTTCTGTTTAGCCCTTGAATACAAGCTTCAGAATTGAACTACAAGGTCATAGTAATGCATTTGGGGCTGAGCCAGGAACTCTAAGGAACACTGAGGGCAACCAGTTGACGGGAAAGTGTACGGTGGTACTTAGAGGAAATGCATTCTGACTTCCCTTCAGCTTGCATAAACCTTTTGCCCTTTACAAAAATGAGCCTGGGGTACCTTCCCATCTATGAATGGGTGGTAATCTTTGAAAGCATCTTTCTGAAAGGGAGGTTTGACACAGGGAAGGGGTGCGTGGGTCCCCTGTTATCTCCTGTCCGACTGATGGACTAACCCCATGGCTAGGGCTTTCCAGGCCCCACAGGCTGCAGATGTTCCATAGGCCAGGTGGGTCTAAGGACCTCTCTGCCGTCCTGAGTGGGTGATGGATTGCTTAGCTGGATACTTGACAGCTACTGGAGGGATCTGGGCTGGGTTTTATGCATAAGGTTTTCTTTAAACAAAACCCATTTAGAATTAAAATATTTCTCAGGAGACATCCTGTTAACAGGATTAATGTGGAAACATGTCCAGGCAAAACAACCCAAACATCCAGGACCAAAGCGAGAAACAAACTCAGCTCAAAACTAAAAGAAGTGATTGTCTTGAGCAAGTCGAAAGTCAGTTCAAACCATATTTACCCAAGTGGCTCATACCACTAGCTTCATTAGTAAGGGACGGGCTTAGAAGGAGAAATTGAAGAGAAGCTGATATTTTCTAAGGTGATATTTTCTTGGGCTACCAGTCCTACTTGAGACCCTTGTCACGTTGGGCCTGGATGATTTCATTAGCTTCCTATTATCCTTTAGCTTCTCCCCTTCCTGACCTGTTCAATATATTTTCCTAAACTATTTTTTAAAAACCTTCAGAGACTCCCCTTTATCACAGGATTAAATCCGCCACCCTCAGCCTGGCTTCTGAGACACTCCACACTCTGCTATGTCCACTCTGGCCACCAACTCCCTCATACCACAAAACACAGTGGTTTCAGAGCCCAGACCTGAGGAATTAACAGCACGGACGAATGTGCTCTGGTTCTGCTGCTACGCAGCTGGACCAATACTTCTGTTCTCGGCCTATAAATTGTTCAGGTGAGGACATTTAAAGGCTATGCGTGCCTTTTTCTGCTCTGGGGTGTAGGGGTTGTAATATATTTTTCAACAAAAATGATGGTGAGACCTGAATTATTCCAGATTTATTCAAGTCCCAATATTCCAAACCTAGAGCTAAAAGGTGACTGTTTTCCTCCTAATATAGTAAAGTCATTGATTAGAGTTGGTTTGGTAAGACTGGTATGCCTCTGGAACACTCATTAAAACAGGACACAAGGGCCAGCTGGGTGGCACAGTTGGTTAGAGCGCGAGCTCTGAGCAACAGGATTGCCAGTTCGGTTCCCACATGGGCCAGTGAGCTGCGCCCGAGCTGAGCTGCAGCTGAGCCGCCAGTGGGTGGCCTGATGGCTCAGCTGTACAAGGTTGCTGGTTCGACTCCTGTATGGGATGGCGGGCTGTGCCCTCCACAACTACATTGAAAGTAGGAACTGGACCTGGAACTGAGCTTGCGCCCTCCACAACTAAGATTGAAGAACAATAACTTGACTTGGAGCTGATGTGTACTGAAAAAACACAATGTTCCCCTTCCCCAGTTCCCCAACACTGTTCCCTTCCCAAATTCCCCAATAAAATCTTACAAAAGAAAAACCAATATCTGTAGGTGGAATATTTGAACACTTGTCTTAAAAGGAACTTTAAATAGTTGGGGAACATTCATTTATACATAGCTAATATCCTACTTACAAACGTTCATAAAAGTAGCTAATCAAGGACATTACTTTAGTTATGGTTACTAATTTTTAAAAATTAGGCTTTATACTAATTGAGATGACTGTCATACTGAATTAGGCTACCTTTATGGAGGTTTACCTGAAAACTAGGATTAGCCAGCAATACTTAGGCTTTTAGCGTCATCCTGTGCTGACATCACAGGGGAGGCAGATGCTGAAGTGGTGGCGGGAGATGGACAAGGAGGGCTGGGCGGTAGGGCAGTCTGAGAACAGGCTCTTACCTTCAGTAGCTTCATTAGCCCTTCCAGTTGAACCATTAGCTCCCGTCTGCTCTCCTGCAGTGCTGACATTCTCTGCTCCAGTTCATCTTTCCTTTGCCTGCCAGAGAGGAAAAGCCCATCAGAAATGAAACTTGGAAGCTAAAGGGTCTAAGGCCAGGTGAAACGGGGTTTAGACCTGATTCTGCGACTGACCAGTGTATGAGGTGCTGAGCGAGTCATGTAACCTCAGAGATCTTATGAATCAAGTGGTCATGTATCTGTTTTGCCCACTTGCCTTTACTCTTGTAAGAACAGCATGTAAAAATGCTTTGGAAAGTATACAAGGCCACACAGAGAAAAAGTATTATTAATATTATTATTAAAGTGATTTAAAAAAATTTCATCAGGAAGTCAAATACCTCATTTAGAAAAACAAATAAAGCCAGTCCAAATTTAAAATAATAGTGGAGAAAATGTATGAAAACTGATCAAGGGAAAATAGGGCTCAGTCGTCAGTACTCCCAGCACCAGACATCAGGTTTCAGATGTGTGACAAACATCAGGATGACTCTGTGTCCAAAGAGCTCTCTTTTCTCTGAGGACAGATTTCATCTCAATTCTAGCTCAATATGTCCAAAATCAAACTTACAACTTTCCTCCCCAAATGATTCTCTTTCCCAATTTCCCTGTCTCTGTCACTTTTTTTTCCAGTTGTCCTGGCTGAAAAGCTCAGTCCTGTTTGATACTTTCCTGTTTATATCCTCTACTCAGTAAGTCACCCAACTCAGGTCATTCTCTCCTGGAAGTTTATGAGTCTATCTGTCCCCGCTTCTCTCACTTCATCCAAGTGTTCCTTACGTCCCACACGCAATGGTCTCTTAGCTTGATTAATCCTGGTTTCATCTGTTATGGTGAGGAAAAAGCAGTGGAATATAAATCAAGAGACTTGAGGCCCATCATTTATTAAATATGCAACTGTGGACAAGTCACATACCCTGTCTGGGCCTCAATTTTTTTCTGTACAAATGGGACTAATAATAAATAACAGCAATATTTTGAGAATCAAGTAAGATAAAGACTATAAAAGTGCTTTGTGACGTTTGTAATGCTGCTCAAAGGAAAGCTGTATTCATTTCAGCATCGTCCGTAACAATCTCAATATAATTTCCAGCATCACTGACCCTCACCCGGCAAATCTAGGCCTCTGCTGTCCGATACGGTCGCCACGAGCCACATGTGCCTTCTAAGCACTTGAAACATAGATAATCTGAATTGAGGTGCACCATAAGTGTAACATACACACTGGGTTTCAAAAATTAAGTGTGAACAAAAGAGAATAAAATATCTCATTAGTCATTTTTTTAATGTTGATTAACTATGGAAATGATAATATTTTGGAGATAACAGATCAAGTAAAAGATAGTATTAAAATTGATGACACCTATTTCCTTTTAGTTTTTCAACGTGGTTGTTAGAAAAGTTTTAATTACATATGTGGCTCACGTTATATGTCTATTGGAGAGCACTGCTCCAGACCTCACCTATATCCCTATCCTTAGCACCTCACTTCCTATTCCCTTCCATGTCTGGACCTCCAGGTGGTTCACTTTTCCCCAAACAGACCCCATCATTTTACAGCTCATGGTGATTCTCCCCATTTTCCGAATGTTATTCATTCCTTCATGTCCTTCCCAAATGGGATGAGCCTTACTCACCTTTGCATGTATTGAATAATTAAGAGAATATCATGCATCCAGTATGTACTCAGTTAACATCTCGTGAACTTAATGAAATCAGTATTTGAAACCTTCCAAGGATTTCCAATGACCTATCACTTACAGCCTTCCAGAATCTGGTCTCAGTTATCTAACTAATTTTATCTCCTACTACTGGTACTGTAAAGATTAATTCAACAGATGACTGAAAACACATCCTTAGCTCCAAGAGTCTTTCCCCTCTCTGAAAGGTGTCAGACTTATTTGGGGGATCATGCTGAGCCCCAGTGCCATTCTATCTGAAACGTTCTGCCCCACACTCCATCCAAATCATACCCACCTTTCATGGTCTAGCTCAGCTTCCACCCCCTCCATGGCTCTAATTGCTTCTAGCCTGCATAGATTTAGATTTCTTATAATATGCTATTCAGATTTCCCAACTCAGGTTTCTTATAATATCCATACTATTTATTAACATTGTATAATTTTAACTGACTAGAAACTTATTTTATATTTTGTTTCTAAAATGAGGTTATACATTTTTGGAATGGAATCATTCTCTTCCACTCTTCATACTCCCTACATTTCCAGCACAGGTATACTCAGGAAGGAGTAGCTGACTCAGTTTTTTAGGAGGCCTTTCTTCCCTGAACTCTTTGCCTGTGCTGTGCACAACCAAATAATTATAATACCTTGTGAAGATAAATGAACTAGTTTCGTGAATCAACATGGAAGAATCCTAAAGAGTAACAGTGAGGGGGGAAAAAGGTAACAGAAGACTGCATATAATAATATTTCTATAAAGTCCAGAAAACAAAAAGCAAAACTAACCACTTCATTATGTGGGAATACACATATATTTGATAATACTGTGCGATAAAAAGCAAGGGAGTAATAAACCAAATTCTGAATAGAGGTTAGCTCTGTGGGGGAAGGTGGGAGCAAGGATGTGGAATAAGGGGGGGGGCACTCTTATACAGATGACATGGTTTTGCAATATGAGTTCTCAAGTAGGATGTGGGTTCGCAGGTGTTCATTTTATCAATATGGTCTTTATTTTAAACATTTGTCACATATATTATTGTAACAAATATACCATTAAAAATAAATAGTAAAGGCGGAAAAGACAACTCTAGCGGTCAGGGTTCATAACCACTAATCCTAAGGATGAAATGCTTTTATCTTGTTTTATTATACTAGCTGGGTATTGGCAGTTCCTGGATTCATATATATTGACAGAAACCAGATGGATGTCAGATACCTACAAATGAACCTTGCCCTTTATGTGTCTTTTAATGAACAAAATTTCTTAATACAGATGAATTTACCAATTTCTTTCATACTTATTAATTCTGAGAAACTATTTTCTATTCCAAAATCCTCAAGAAATTCTCCTACGTTTTCTTCTGAAAGTTTTAAAGTTTTGTCTCCACGTTTGATCCATCTGGTGGTGTTTTTGTACTTTGTGTGGGGGACAGAGCCATTATATTTGCACATATGCATAAGCAATTGATGTAGCAGCACACTTATTAAATAGTCCCTCCTTTTTCAGTTATATAGAAGCTGATTTTGAGATTAAATACTTTGTGATTTCTCAGGATGTAGACCCTCCGTGGACTTAGATAAAATTCCTGTTTCTTATTGATTTATGTGACATCCCTGGATTCAGTCCTTTGCTTACTAATCCTATGAAAATCTTAGATCCCTCCAGCTTAACTAAGCATTTTCAGTAATCCCAGATCCAGCAATAGTTAGACTCAAATGTGACAGCTTCTTGCTTTTCTAGATACAAAATAAGTCACTTGGGCCTGAGCTATGGTGGGGAAGAAGCAGTTATAGCTCATGCTGGTAGCTTCGAGTTACACTCTGCCTGAGTCAGCAACATTTGTTTTCCCATCCTTCCAACTGTGCTGATGTCCCACATGTGGGACAGAGGACTGCAGAGTGACCAAAACCTCAGCCCAACTAAATTTAGAAACTAAAATGAATTTTTAGGAGAATGGGAAGCTCTACGCCTCTAATGATTTTTATCTGCACAGTTTACATTCTTTATGACTTATTCATTACTGATGTAAATCTAAATAGGAGAATAGTTATAGAAAAATTATCTGTATTCTTTAGGAAAAGAAATCATTGTTGAGAAGCTAAATGACTGAAGCCAAAGGAAAAATTCAAAAAGAATATTCAGCTATGCAGAATCCCAGATGACAACACATTAAAAAATCAACTGTGGAAATGTTGTCACAGTCTAAACAGAAAGAACCCACTAACTGGACATCTAGATGGCTGGCCAGAATCAAGTCACTCACTGAGTTTCCCTAAAGTCTTCACTTCCAGAGGGTACACATACATCTTTCTAAGACTGATAGGAAATAAGAGTCTAGTGACTTTGATCAGATGGCTCTCCTGGTATACTCCTGTGGAAGCCTTCCCCATTCCCTCCAAAACAGCATCGGGTGGGAGCTGAAGTTGCTCTCTCCCCTCCTGGTCCTGCATCCTTAGCCTCTCGACCCTTGTGACAGTTTAGATTTATGTTGAAGTGGGAAGGTGCCATAGTCATGGAGCAAGGGGTTCGCACCGTTTCCCGCCTCAGAGTGTGCGAAGGAAGCATCCATTTTCTCTACCAGAGTCCTGCTCTGGCTATGAAGTGCCAGGAGAAGAGACCCATAGGTCACTGAGTGCATTATTCAGCCAAGAGTCTCTGAAGTTAGACTAACTAGTGAGATGGTAAGACTGAGGGTAGCACCAGGGTCTTCTTAGAGCCATCGCTAACGTATAAACACCTCCGCTTGTCGCGGAGCTGGAGACCAGTGCTCACCTAGCTCTGCAGGGAAGGCAGAAGTACTCAGTGATCAACAGAAGCGGTAACAAGCAGGATGCTTCAGTACCTGTTCTAACACAAGGTACGCCGACAGACAGACGATCCCACTGCCTGGTTCCCTGCGGTATCAGTTTCCACTGTAGCAGGCTCTGATTTGGGGACAGGGTGCAGTGTCCCCACTTACCTCAGCAGCCGCAGCTCTGCCAGCAACGTGGGGTTCTGCTGGGCCTTCTCGGGGGTGGGCTGGGATGCCTGCTCATGCTCCAGACGGAGGCGCTGAATCTCCTGCAGGATCTCTCTAGAGAGGATGGGAGACAGATGGCTAGTGCTTCACAGCCCTCTCTCTTTTCCTGGTAGAAGGGCCTGTTACCAATCTTGTTCTGATTGCTTGCAAATGACCAAAATGTGAAATACACACCTTCTGAAGACTGCTGCACTTGACGTATTCAATGAAACAATCCTTTGTGGTAAGAAGGAGCCAGAAAAAGGCTCTTCTGAAGAACTTGAAAAAATCTCCATGGAAGGAAAATGACAACTATTGTAGAACCCTCTGCTCCTCTGGGGAAGAGGACGAGAACCACTTGCAGCCTCCTAACGCAGGTCCTGTGCTAACTCCTCCAGGTCTTCCCGTCTCCCTTCTTCACCTGCCCCCTGAGTGATGGACAGCTGCTTCAACTTATGCCTGTTGTATTATGTCCTATCTCCTTGTCCTGGTTTCTACCTTTCAGGGCACAAGGGTGTGTTGTCTGGTCTCCAAGCCTTTAAATGGCCTTTTAGTGAGAGACAGACAGTCACATGCAGTATAATGGGCCAAGACAATCTGACTAGAGAGAGCAAAAGGCTGGTGGGAGGAGACTGGAGAACAGGATCATGAGAGGGGAACAGTCTTATGGGCAGGCAAAGGCCCTGGGAAAAGAGTCTACCTGAGGGCAGGCGAGCAGGGTTTGGGACGAGCACAATGAACGGCACTGCAGAAATATTAATACAATTTAGTGCCCAGGGCATTTACTGGACTTGGTCTGGCCTATATTCACTGTGGTGGGACCTTCCTTTGTGGCCAAAAGCCACCCTCAGTCTGGAAGGAAAATGAGGGTCAGATACGCATGTGATAGTCTTGGATGTTAGACCCTGGCTCAGCCTCTGCATTCTTACCTGTTTTTGTTTTCCAGTTCTGCGATAAGCTGTCTTTGTTGTTTGTTGGCATCGAAGTTAAAGCTCAGGTCCGGACGGGTCTACAGTGAGGAGAAAGTAAGTTTTTCTGATTCAAATATATCCAGAGTCCTGGAAGGACTGTTGATGTTTTCAAATTAGATTTTTTTGAAGTGAAAATTCCCCACCATAAAATTCACAATTTTTTCTCTTTAAAAATCCACCCATTTTACGTGGACAATTCAATGAGTCTCAGTAACTTTAAAGTCGTGCAACCAATCAGCACAGTCCAGTTTGAGAGCATTTTCCATCACCACAAATATTCTCGCAGGGAGTATGCAGTCAACTACCCCTCACTGCCATCCCCTGATCCTGCTTTCCGTCTACAGTTCTGCCTTTTTTTAGAAATTTTAAACAAATGGAATCCCACAACATGTAGTCCTTGGTTTCTGGCTTCCACTTAGCATGATGTGCCTGAGGTCCATCCATGCTGCTCCATGAATCAGAAGTTCCCTTTTTACTGCTGCATAGTATCCCACTGCTTCGGCTTTGGCTATTACAAATGGAGCGGCTATGAACTTTCATTTACAAGTCTTTCTGTTGATACATGCTTGTATGTTTTTATTTTTCTTTGGTAAGTATCTAGCAGTGGAATTCCTGAGTTATATGGTAACGCTGTTTATAAGCATTTGGAGGAACCCTGTTTAATTGTTTTCCAAAGTGGCTGTACCATTTTACAAACCCCCCAACAAGGAATAAAGGTTCCAATTTCTTCACACCCTGTCAACACTTATTTGGTTTTAATCATCCTAGTGGGTGTGAAGTATCTAACTGGTGTTTTTTTTTAAATGAGATATAATTTACATAAAATCCAGCCTTTCAAAGTATACAGGTCAGTGGTTTTTACTATGAGATGGTGAAACCATCATCACTATCTAATTCCAGAATATTTTTTCACCCCCAAAAGAAACCCCCACCCGTTAGCAGTCACACCCCATTGCCCCTTACCCCATCCCCTGACAACTGCGAATCTCCTTTCTGTCTCGATGGCCTTGCCTATTCTGAATATTTCATATAAAGATATGTGATCTTTTGTCTGGCTTTTTTCACTTAGCAAAATGTTTTCAAGGTTTATCGATGTTGTAGCACATATCAGTACTTCATTCTTTTTATGGCTGAGTAATATAATATATAGTAACTGCCTTTTGAGGACCTGCCAAACTATTTTCCTAAGTGGCTACACTATTTCACATTCCCACTATCAAGGGATGAGGGTTCCATTTTTCCCATGTTCTTGTCAACACTTGTTATTGTCCATCTATTTGATCACAGTCATCCTCATTTTGGATTCAATTTACATTTCTCTAATGACTAATGTGTTGAACACACTTTAATGTGCTTATTAGTCACTTGTGTATTTTCTTCAGAGAAATAATTGTGGTTTTGATTTGCAAGTCCCCTGATGGTTCTGACCCTTGGAACCCCCTTGAAGTATATTGAAACCAATCAACACAAACTAGGAAAATGGATGACGAGGTGACATTTCCCCTTTATTAATTAGCCAGAACGGAAGCTCCCACTGAAGGCACCTGGTTGGCTATGCTTCACTCCACACATTCTTGGTTCCGCCCAAAACATGACCTACAATGAAGCAGAAACCTTGTTTCCTAGCTGGAGCTTGGAGATGCAATGTCATTCTTTTCATGTGGCATTTCCTAAATAAACAGGGGCAAAACTGCATAGCAAATCCAGGTGGGAGGCTTTTTACCAAATATTTTTCTTTCTTAAAGAAAAAAAAAAAAGGCAATTTTTCTTCCTCCAGAGAAGAGTGGACCAGAAGCCAATTCAGCAAATTTTGTATATTCTATGAAGAGTCTTGTGACAGCCTGAGTTGAACCTCAGAAAAACGGCTTGCTTGAGACTGAAACTGTTATGAATAATAGATTTACAGTTTCTGAAAACTGGAGTTAAAACTGATGGCTCCTTATTAGAGTGGAACCAGGGAAAATTATGGATGATGCAATGAGCTCTGAAAGGAATTTGCTTCATAGGATAGAAAACAAACAAACAAAAAGCCCCTAGTATTTCACTGGAAATTTCTAAAGAAACTTTTCATTTCTAAGTGTCTGACTGCACTGCTATGGCATCTTTCAAAGAGAAGGTTAATACGGCAATCAAGTGTCATTATCAGCAGTGATTCCTAACCAGGCAGGGTTCTTTGGCACCAAGCAGCACTGAAATCCAAAAAAGTGAGGGGTGGAGGAAGACTCAAATCCTGAGGCAGGAGCTCCTCCTGCAGCAATGTGAGGAGACGTAAGGACTGGGAGAGTCCTACTGCTAAGTCTGATGGTGGCTTAGCTCAGCCAGTCAAATTTTAAACACAGTCAAGTGTACATTAAATACCAGAGAAACTTAGAATTTTATTCATTTACTATCTTAAACACCATGGTGCTCCTTAAAAAAGTAAAGCCAGGTATCCTTTCCTAAAATGCCTACAGGACACTGAAGGGAAAAAAGAGGAAGGGAAATATTAGCTCATAAAGACACAAAATGCTTTAGCTAGAAGAGACCTAGAGATGACTTCTTTCAAAAATTCAATAGTTCATTCATCCATTTATTTAACAAATATTTCCTGAGTGCCTACTATGTGCCAGATACTATTCTAGGAACTAGGGGTGCATTAGTGGGTAAGATACAGCTCCACCCTCATGTAGCTTACATTATGTTGAGAGAGAAACAGAAGAAACTAAAAGTGTGTGTATATACACATACACGTATACACACATTATCAGCTGTGATAAACGTGATGAAGAAATACAGGGTAGTGAAACACTGAACTGAGTCAGGGACTCTTTACATGAAGTGGTTATGAGAGGGCTTTCCAAGACTCAGCGAACCAGGGGAACTTCTGAGGGACCAGAGTGCTGCTGCGCGGACAGGCAAAGGGTCCCTTGTGTTCCCAGGTCCGTGCTGACGGAGCGAGTGAGCTGTGCTGAGAGTGGGAGGTAATGAACGGGGACGTGAAGAGAGGACCCGGATCGTGCAGGGCCATGGAGAAGGGTTTCTGTTCCGTTCTGAATGTGGTGTGCAGCCACCGTAGGATTCTGAACAGGGGCATATGATATCAAGTCCAAATAGCGTATGTACATACTCCATCCACAGGAAGTGGAGCTTTACTCCCCATTCCTTTAGTGTGGCCCGTCCACAGTGATTTCCTTGCAAAGAGGACAGGTAGAAAAAGGGGGAGAAGAGTGACGTTATGCTGGAAAAACCTGAGAGACACTTCCTCAGCCAGGTGATTAAGGTCGACATTGACAGTGATAAAATGATGGTAACAGTCTAATGTGAGAAGAATAGCACTTGGATCTTCCTCCTCAAAATCCATAACCCCGATCTAATCATGAGAAAAACATCAGACTAATCCTGATAACGGGATATTTTACAATATTTGGCGAGTATTCCTCAAAACTGTCAAGGTCATCAAGATCAAGGAAAGTCAGAGAAACTGTCACAGCCAAGAGGAGCCTAAGGAGACAGGACAACTAAATGTATTGGGTTGTCGGAAAAGTCATGATGTATATTTTCTGTTTTTTGTTGCAAAAATGCATCATGACTTTTCCCACAACCCACTAACATGGTATCCTAGATGGGATCCTGGAACACAAAAAGGGTCTTAGGTAAAAACTAAGGAAATCTGAATACCGAATGGACTTTAATTAATAATAATGTATCAATATTGGCTCATTAATTGTAACAAATATGCCATGTTAATATAAGACATTAACAATAGGGGAATCTGAGTATGGGTTATATGGAAACTCTGTATTAGCTTCACAATTTTTCTGTAAATCTACAACTGTTCTATGATTAAAAGTTTAATACAAACAACACTGCTCTGGCTACTAAGTGGAGCATTTATGTGGTGGGATAAGAATGGAAGTAGGTGGACTAGTTAGGAATCCTAGGTTTTGCTATGAACTCACCCCGTAAACTTTGAGTTATTTTATTATACATTTATTTTCTTGCCTGTCAAATGGAAATATTTACAAAAAGAGATGTGAAGAGGAGCACTTCCTGTTACACTGGCACTCTCTTAGGTTTAGGTAATCTCACAGAGCTCCATCATCTTTAATGAGATGGAGCTATATCTGAAAAATACAAGATAGAAATAAGACCCCTTTGAGTAAAATCAGGCAAATGTTATAAAACCAAAGAAAGCAGACATAGTCAGCAAACAGTCATCTGGTAGTGTGCATTTTTGTAGCCTCCTAAAGACAGACTGGTGGCTTTCCATCTGTATGAACTTGGAAAGGAGGAGTTCCAAAGAGATGTGCCCAATATCAGCTAGACCGCCTTTGATTCCTGGGGCAGTGCTCCCATCAATCCCATCATCCCAGAGGGCTGTGGAGTCATCTCTCTCTTCTCTCTCAAAAACCCAAGAATGCTTGTTAGGGCAGGAGTTCCAAAGCTAGCTATAAATCAGAACACTGGAAATTTTCTTTTCTTTTTTTACCTAAAAATCGACAGATCCGAAACCCAGAGATTCTGATTCAGTAGGTCTGAGGCAAAGCCAAGGATCTATGTATTTTTTAAATGCTTCACACATGATTGTATAATAGGTAGCTAAGTCTGACAATTACTATTTTATGGGGGTTTTGAGTCACTACATGAGTCAAACCCCACGTGGGTCCTGTTGATCTGTAATTCTAAGAAGCCATAAGGTTATTTCTGGAATGGTGCATGCCTGGAGCAGCTGACACATGACGAGGCTGTGAAGGCTAAGACTGGACTATCTGAGAGAGAAAAAAAAAAAAGCTTTTCAAAACTGTAAATGTAAAAAAAAAAAGTGTAAATGTTAAATAGGATGACAATATGATGATTTCTCCTTCCTTTCATCTTTCTTTTTCCATAATGAGTTTTTAATTTTTTCATAAAGAAAAAAACTTTAAAAATAAACCCAAGGGCCACCCGAGTGGCGTGTTGGTTAAGAGTTGGCTTGGGACGTCAGCTCTGAGCAGTAGGACCCCGGTTCGGATCCCACATTAGGGCCAGTGACGCTGCACCCTCTATAGCTAAGATGGTGAACAACAGCTCAACCTGGAGCTGGGCTGCTGTGAGTCTCCGGCAACGGCACAGGCTGCAGCCCCTGCTGCAGTGGACTGCCATAAGCTACCGTGAGTGGCCGGCAGCCAGCGTGAAAGGCCATGACCCACCGTGAGCAGCCGTCCAGAGGCCGGCGACTGATCTGCCTCACTAGGGAGAGCGCAATGATAATACCAACATGGGCCAGTGAAGCGACGTCCTCCACAACTAGACTGAACAAAATGACAGCAACTTGTCTGTTCCCCTTCCCCCAATTCCCCAGCGCTGTTCCCATCCCCACAATTCCCCAATAAAATCTTTTTTTTTTCTTTTTAAAAGATTTTTATTGGGGAATTGGGGGAAGGGGAACAGACAAGATGCTGTCGTTTGTTCTTCAGTCTAGTTGTGGAGGACGTTGCTTCACTGGCCCAAGTTGGCACCATCATTGCGCTCTTCCTGGGCGAGGCAGATCAGTCACCGGCTTCTGGATGGCCGCTCTCAGCGGCTGCTGGCCGCTCACACTGGCTGCTGGCCACACACAGTAGCCCATGAAAATCCACTGCAGCAGGGGCTGCAGCCTACACCATCGCTGGTGACTCACCGCAGCCCAGCTCCAGGCTGAGCTGTTGTTCAGCATCTTAGCTGTAGAGGGCAGTGTCACTGGCCCTCATATGTGGGATCCAAACTGGGGCCCTCTGGTGTCCCAAGCCAGCTCTTAACCAACGTGCCACTTGGCAGGCCCCCCCCCCAATAAAATCTTAAAAACAAATAAAAAAATAAAAAATAAACCCAAAACATCTGATTATATCTATTGGGTTGTCGGAAAAGTCATGACGTATTTTTTCTATGTTTTTTGTTGCAAAACTGCATCATGACTTTTCCGAAAACCCAATAATACTGGGGATGTTTGTGATGAAATTTAAGAAGTTGCTGTTCTTACTATGATTTACCTCATATTGTATTTTTTTTTAAAGAGATTTAGGCCCTTCAGAAAAACAAATCAGCTCCCCTGGCTCATCTAAGCAGCCTAGTATTTCTTTATTCAAGGCTCAGCCTGGAGAGTTGTCAGTGGCCATGTGAGTCACCTAGGGAGACGAGATGACTGTGACGCTGAAGCACTCTACAGGGTGTGATGCCGGCTGCTAAAATGATTTCATGGTCTTTCTTTGTGGAAGAAGGTTTTGGGGGGGAAAAAATCAATACAAAGCCTATCTGGCAGGCTATAAATAAATTCTTTTGAGCACTACACCCACTTTCTACAAAGCACTTGTATCAGTGAGAGATTAGCAGATTAGAAGCGGAAATCTAGTGAAGAAGAACCCTTTCTGACAGGTGCAATATTTATAAGATAAATACACTTTGGAATATAAACCACAGATGAAAGGGGCCATATCCATATTTAGTCTCAGGACCACTCTAACAATCATCATTTTCACACGAATAAGAGAATTGTCATCAGAAACTATCAGGTGTAAACAGACTTATCTTGTTTGCAGTAAAGGAGTACTGTGACCTCCTTTTCAGGGTCAAATGGCTTTGGGGCTTTTATTTACAGCATCTTAAAAGTACTATGTAAAGTCAAGAAGACTATATAATGACATTACATATACTTAATTAAAAAAAATTCAACCACAATGCTGTCCATCTCAACAAATTTAATTAATTTTATTTATAAGTTTTAATCTCTAAAATAACAGTTGGGACTGATTGAGAGTATATGTGAAGTTTAACAAATTAAATGGAACTTTTATTTTCCCCAGACTTTTCCCCCCTATACTGTTCCATTTCATTAACCTTTAGAGTTGTAAGGTTAGAGTCATGTATGACCTGCTATTAGATTATTTTCACAGAAAAGATTCTGAAGTAGAAACAAACCTAAAGGAATAAATTATTTTTGGTGGAGGTGGGATAGGGTGGGGGTGGAACAAAGCAAGACTCCATTGGCAGCTTTCATAACTGTATTTCCCTGTGAAGAAGTAAACATAAATTGGTACACATTTCTGTAATTAATATACTGTGTTGATAACTATGGTCCTGAGAGGTCTGGCCTGCCTGTCCAGCCTAATTTCCCTCCAGCATTGTTCTCTGTGCCCTAGCCACACGAGCAGTCTTTTAGGTCCTGAAACCTCTATCCTCAGAGCCTTTACATATATTGAAACTCCCCAGTGGGCACTCATTTCATTTTCTTTACCTGGTCAATGCTTACATCGTCTGTTGTTTTGAGCTGAGATCATTCCTCCTTTCATCTTACTCTTTGCTTGTATTTGATGGTTTTTAATGTTGTAGTAAACCATATTTTTCCTAAATTTAATTTTCTAATTGTTCACTGCTAGTGCATAAAAATACAATCTGAATGGCTCAGTTGGTTAAGAGCTCACTCAAGAGTGTGAGCTCTGAGCAACAGCAGTTCAAGTCCCAGCCCAAGATGAGCAGCCGCTGAGCTGCCAACAGGTGGCAGGATGGCTCAGCTTAAAAAAAAAAATACAATCCATTATTGACTTTGTATCTTGCAATACTGCTATAAAGTCATGAATCTGTTCTAGTGTTTTTGTAGCTTCTATAGGTCTTTCTAGACACAATCATGTCATCTACAAATAACGACAGCTTTATGTCTTCCTTGCCAATATGTATGCCCTCATCTTCTTGTTATGATGCACTGGCTCAGACCTCCAGTACAATTTTGAATAGGGGTGGTGAAAGCAGACATCTTTATTTTGTTCTCAATATTAGGTAGGGAAAATATTCCAAAATTCAATCTTTATGTATAATATTAGCTGTAGGTTTTTTTGTAGATGTTCTTCATCATGTGGAGAAAGTTTCTTCTACTCCTAGTGTATTGAGAAGTTTTATCATAAATGGGTCTAGTATTTTGTCAAATGCTTTTTCTGCATCTATTAAAATAATCTTATAATTTTATTCTTTAAACTGCTAACATGGTGAATTACATCAGCAGGCTTTTGTATGTGAAATAAATTTATATTCCTACAATAAGTCTCACTTGATCTTGGAATATTATCCTTCTTATATTTTGCTGGATTCAATTTGCTAATATTTTGTTAAGGATTTTTTCATTCATGTTCATCAGAGAATTTGGCCATCAATTTTCCTTTTTTGTAGCTGCCTTGTGCTGTTTTGGTATCAGGGTATAGTGGCCTAATAAAATGAGTTAGAGAGTGTTCCTTCTTCCTCTCTTTTCTGATAGTTTATGTCAGATTGTTGTGATTTCTTCCATAAGTATATTACAGTATATAACAGTTGAGCCATCTGAGCTTAGAGTTTTCTTTGTGGGAAGTTAATTTTGAATTCAATTTCTTTAACAGATATAGGACTGTTTAGATTTTCTATTTATTCTTAAGTCAGTTTTGCTAATTTGTATCTTTTAAGGAATTTGTCTGTTTCATCTAGGGTGTCAAAGTCACTGGCAAAAAGTTGTTCATAATATTCCCTTATCATCCTTATAATGTCTGTAGGATCTGTAGCAATCAATGTCTCTTTCATTTGTGATATTGGTAAGTTGTGTTTTATTTTTATCTTGATCAGGATATCTAGAGATTTATTAATTTTATTGATCTTTTTAAAGAACCAAATTGATTCAGATTTTCTTTTCTTGATTCATTTTTTTTTGGCTGAGCCATCCTGCCACCTGTTGTTGGCAGCTCAGCAGCAGCTCAGCTTGGGCCGGAGAATCGAACCGCTGTTGCTTGAGTGAGCTCTTAACCAACTGAGCCACTGGGCTGGCCCGATTCATTTTTTTGTTTTAAAGATGATATTATAGATAAAACTGAAGGCCACTATAATCCTTTCCCTAAACCCACTCTTCTCCTTCTGTTCCTGAGGTACTTATTCTCTTGAGTTTCATGTTTACGTTATCCTACCACTTGCATATATATATATTTTTTGGTCTTATGTTTATTGGTTTATGTGACATTTAATTTTACACTAACAAGTGCAACTGATGTAGATTTGGGTCAATCCTGGTGGTCACCCTACCAGCTGCGAGTGCGCTGTGGGCATTGATTAGTCAGTACTTTGGAGAGGGATTCTAGTGCGTGTCACTTTAGCGCCTGGACTAATAAAGCTAGTTCAGGAACTTCTGTACTTCCAGTCTGATACTGCTCTGTCCTCACCCTGACTTGACCTCCGACTAATTTTTCCCTCCTACTCCCGTCCCCAGTACCTTCTGGATCACCTCTCTTCCTGCTTTTTCAGGTATTCTGTTCCGTTAGACAGCCTTTCTGTCATATCTTTAACTTCTCCTGTGTTTTTTGTTTTTTATTATTTTTTTTTCCACTTATGTATTAAAGTAATGCTAATTTCTGCTACTCTGCTGGAATCCTCTATTTACTCACCATGTTTCCTGCCTCTGCAGCCAGCCGTGCAGCATAGCGAGCTATAAGCCGGTGTTCCTCATCCAGGCGGCTAGGACTGTCCAGGACACTGCCAAGGAGATAAGAATTCAACAGGTGTCTATTAAACGTCCCCTACTCTTGCTTCTCTCTTAGAAAAAAAGATGGGAAAAAAGCTTGTAAAAAAGAAAAAATAAAGAATGGTAACAAAAGAAATGGAGGCCAGGGTCATAGATACTAATGTCTTCTGAGATAAAGAGGATTTAGAGAAATGATGAGGCCACATGTGTCATTTCTCTTCAGTGGTATCCCCACTATACCATCAGAAGGTGCACTTATTATTGAATGCAAAGGCTGAGAAAAGACAGGGCATTTACAAAATCTGAGAGGGGGTTTTCTAATCAAATGTTTTTAAAAACTCATGACTTTTAGACATAGGTCTTGAATTCAAAAAGACTAAGAGAAAACGAAAGCATCATGAAATATAGAAGGCTGAGAAAAAGTACAATTAACACTGGCTGAGCAAAAAAAACTGAGGAATCCAGGCTTGGGCAGGTCCAATATATGGTAAAACTGGAGAAGATTACATGGTACCAAACATCCCCTTTCAATGCCTATTTCTTTTCTTTTACCATGTTTGTTCCACAACTATAGCCCCATCTTGGAGTGAAGTAATGGAGTCCATTACTCTTGAACAAGAGTACCAGCACTCTAAAACTTTAAAGACCCCGCCTAGGTGGATACCAGATAATGCCACACCTGGATGAAAGAAGTGTTCTTGAGTAGCAGGCCAGTTCTGTGTGTATGTGATGCAATGAACTTTTGACTGATTATGAAATAATTGGCTCTTTTAATGTAGCATGTTACATCAACTATCATTTATTCATATTAGGGCACTCCTAGATTAATAGGGACTGTGGCTATATAATTCTCTTTAAGTCTGGCAGGTGCTTTAAGATAACAGTGATGATAATGACTGACCAGAGATGGCTGCCTGAGCTTGCTTCTACTTTGGCACTAGGTTCTTGGAGTTCTAAAAACGCTTGATTACAATTTAACAATATAATAAGTAATATGAAAAAATTTAAAGACTGAGTTCAATACTCATCAAATCTTGTTATAACTACTTAAGGGAATCTGGGAAGGGTGACGTTAAATCAATACAGATCCATCTGATGTTCTCATGTAGAGAATCAACTGCATTTTTCCTAGATTATTTTCACCTTTCTATATTTCTATCTCTGGCTTATTCTTTTCTCTTAGTCTTTCCTCTAGGATGGATTTTTTTTTTAAAGTGCTTTAAGTCTTCTGCCGATGACACTTGGGAACACTATAATTTTAGGTGTGCAAACATCAGTCTCCAGCATGTATAATCATCCTCTCAAAAGATGATGTTGTAATAAGAACATGCTACCATCAGTTGACTTTTAATAACTTCGGGTTAAGACCCCCCAAAGATCAGAGCTGAACTATATTTGTGCCTTAAAAGTGTTTATCTGAAATAAATACCTTTTACTAAACAATAAAAAATGAACATGTAACAATACAAGTACATAAAACTGTGGGGGGACTGGCAGCCTAAAAAGTTGGACGTAAAGTGGTTGATCTTTGTTTTTGGCAGGGGATAGAATTGGTTCCTCTGTGCAAGCGTTCCTCCTTTTCCATCACATTCCATTTCCCTCGGAAGGTTAACAGTGCTTTTCACTTATACCTGAGTCGACACGGTTGTTTTAATCGGCTATGCTTTCCAGCCAGAAACTAGAACTTTATGTTGATGAGAGGTTTTAAGGTCAATGAACATTATGAGGGAAATGAGAGAAAGGCTTCTTATTCTTCTGCTTGAGCTGACTTTCATTTTCAGAATTAGCCTGGAAATTTCTGACTTCTTGGAGGAAGTATGAAGCTCAGCTCCGTAGCCTATAAATCCAGAGATGCCCTACTCACCCAATCCTCATGCTCTCCCAGGGTTTCCGGCCACCAGTTCTTGCTCAGGGAGCCTAATCCCTAAGCCATGGACTCTGAGGACCTTGGCTAAACCTCCCATAAACCTCCTCTGGCTGAAGTACTAGGTGGCAGTCTCTGCCCAACATTCTGCTGCTCCTTTCACCATGGGAACTTTTAATCGCCCAGACAGTTGCCCTTCCTGATAACAGGTAAGCTGTCCTGCCAGGGGTGATACAACTCTATTCCTAGAGACCGACGGGCAGGGCAGTGTGCTCAGCAATCATCTATGGATGGAGGAGACACTGTGATACAATGCCCGATTTTATCAGGCCTTCCTCCCCTCCCACAGGATAAGCCCACCACACAGCCCTGGGAAGGAAGAGAACCCTACAGTCTCTCTAAGGCTTTAGAGACAGGTAAATGCCTAAAAATTATCATGCTATTCAGTCATACTGGGGAAACTATGGGGAAATGGTATGAAGTATAATATTAAAGAGTCCTTCTCAAATATATATATTTTCTCATTGATTATTAATATATTCTTCTGTTATGAGAAATAAGAATGACCTTCCCATGAAAGCACAACATGTTATGGGCAAAATTAAGACCAAAGTTTAAGGCTGCAGCTCTCTCATGTGTTTAGTTAATAAATTATGGTGGTTTTATCGCTGAGAATAAGAATCTCAGGTGGTTTGGCATAGCGGCTCTTCTTTGCTGCCACGTAGAGTGGCTGGGAGGGCTCTGGATTATTTAAACTCTACCTGCCATTCTCCGTGCAGCGTGGTGGTGGGTGCTGGCATGCAGTGGGCAGGTGGCTTTGGATCTTCCTGACTACAACAGCACTTGGGTTGGTATTAACTCTTTTCAAAGGTGAGTTTTGTTGTACTTAGTGGTTATCAAACATTTTTCTATCCGAGCCCACTGAAGGGTCAGTCATATTCCCATATTAACAGTGAGTCATTACCACAGTTTTCAGGGAAAGGGGTATGTGGGACTGTTATAATACATATAATTGTTATAATGTGATGAGGTATATAGCATTTGGCAAAGGTCCCTTAGGGGATCCAACACCACTGTTGGAAAACACTGGTTTAAATAATCAGCAATGATAGATTTGGGGGAACAGATGAAGATATAACACGTAAAGACGTAACAGGGTGATGGTATCAAAGACTTAGACAAAGTGAGATATCTGTGGTTTGATTGACCTTAAACTTTGAATGTCAATAGAAAGATTTCATTATTTAGGCAAAAATAAACAGTAAGAGGTTGCATCGAATACCTCTGCGAATGTACATCTTTGGGGCTGCATCTGAGGCTTATGGTTTGGGGCTGCATCTAAGTACAACCTGACGGAAGTGAGCTCCACTTTAGAGGACAATTGCTGACTATATGTTTAGGCAAGTGCTTGGGCTTGTCAAGGCTCCTCCTTTAGAAGCTAATGCTTTAGCAATTATCTAAACTCTGCCAAACAGAGCTGGTAGCTTCTCAGGAAAACCCCCCACATGCAAAGCCTTTTCCAGCTGGCAACCCCAGGTGGCACAGCTCTCCCTCCCTTTGCTCAGCCCTTGGCGAGCCGCCCGCTGCTGCTGCTCCTACCACTGACCGTGCACAGTGCTGCAGACGGGCCACATAGGAGGCAATCAGTGCATGCTCATCGGCCAAGTGACTGGGCATGTCCTGGCTATACTGCAACCTAGGAACAATGGAGGCAAAGACAGCAAGCACGACACACACACATGCAGAGCGAGAAATGAACACGCATTAAAATGGGAAATTCCAAAGAAATATAGGAAAATAATAATCAATCATGATAAGAAAAACAAAAGACCACAATGCATAATGGAATAGTGTTAGGCCGTCAGGGGGATACATCTCATAAATTCCTGGAACAAAAGCAGTCCGTTGGGAGACAACTTTAGCTGACTCACACTACAGCCCTTGAGAAGAGAAACCAAGGTGGGGTGACCAGGGAGTCTTGCCCACCAGTCTTGTCCAGGTTCTGGACTCTGGGATGGAAGCGTCATTTAGGGAATGTCCTCTGGCAGGAGAACAGGCAGAGAGGGTCTACTTAGGCCCCCTAATGCTTTTATAGCTTTTGTCTACACATAAGAGTTTTCAGTATTACCTCAAGATACCAGTTAAACCTTTTTATTTCTATGAGGACACTGCCTTTAGCATCATTCTATTTTCTCTCATACAATTGGTACTTAAACCAAACTTGTTAGAATTGTATCTCATTGTAAGGCAACACTATATATTCTGATTGCAGTCCTCTCACAGATATGTGGAAGGTCCTTGAGCATACAATCTTTTTTCTTTTTTTAACTTTTCATTATAGAAATGTTAACATATGCACAAAACAGAGAGTAACCTAATGACTACTCTTCATGTATCCATTACCAAATTTCAACAAAAGTCAACATTTTTCTACTTTATTCTTTCTTTCTCCAACATTTTGTTCAGGAAGGGGTGGTTGGAGCAAATCCCAGAAATTTATTATTTCACTCAGGAATACTGAATTTATATATAACCTCAATGCCATTATCACACCTAAAAAATTTAATAAAAACATTTAATAACTCAGTCCATCTGAAAATTTCCTCAGTCTTAAAAAAAAGTCCTTTTACTGTTAAATATTAAGATCCAAACAAGGTTCACAAACCTTGTATTGGTTGATGTTTCTGTTTTTAATCTACAACAATTCTTCCTTTTCCCTGTTTCTTTCATGTCATTTATTTGTGAAGAAAACGGGTTATTTTGCAGCATACTCTACACTCTGGATTTGACTGTTTATTGCAGTGTCATTTAATTTGTTTCTCTATCTCTCACGGTTAGATCTAGATGCTTGATTAAAGTTTTTGCTTTTGTTTTGTTTTTGAGAAGGGGCTAGAGTCAATCATAGGTAATATGGTATACTTATAAGTAAAAAAAGGAGGTAAATAATGGAATATAAATATTGATCAGTGGATTCAGATGTTATTGGGTATGCCGCTCCATTATAAAGTCCCCCATCAACTTTTCACTCAATGGTTTAGCATTTAATGATGATTCTTTTTTAAAGATTTTTATTGGGGTATTGGGGGGAAGGGAACAGTGCTGGGGAATTGGGGGAAGGGGAACAGACAAATTGCTGTCGTTTTGTTCTCCAGTCTAGTTGTGGAGGACGTTGCTTCACTGGCCCAAGTTGGCACCATCATTGCGCGCTTCCCGGGTGAGGCAGATCAGTTGCCGGCTTCTGGACGGCCGCTCACTGCGGCTGCTGGCCGCTCACGCTGGCTACATACGGTAGCCCATGGCAACCCACTGCCACAGGGGCTGCAGCCTATGCCGTCGCCGGCAACTCACAGCAGCCCAGCTCCAGGTTGAGCTGTAGTTCAGCATCTTAGCTGAAGAGGGCAGTGTCACTGGCCCTCATATGTGGGATCCGAACCGGGGCCCTCTGGCATCCCAAGCCAGTTCTTAACCATTGCGCCACTCGGCCAGCCCTAATGATAATTCTTGACTAGACTCATTATTCCATTAGGGGCTGGAAAACGTTGATTTCCCAATCTATCCTCTTTCCTGTATTTGTCATTTCCTCTATTTGCTTATCTTGAAATACTGCTCATTCAGAAAAGCTAAAACAAATGGTTGATACTTCTCATGATTTAACAAAATTCAGAACAGTGAGTTAGTTCCCTAGCAAATTCCAATGGTTACCAAGGAGTTTTCTTTTACGAACTCATAGATTTTTATGTATCTGATGTGCCTCAATCCATTACAATCATCTTTTTGGTGCTCAAATTGTCCTATCTCTGGCCAGTAGGAGCCCCTGCAAGTAGGCTCCTGTATTCTTTTGACATATCCATCAGGCCTTATTAGCTCACTTGCTTGGCACAATAAGATGCCCAGTCTCATCTTGTGTATTTCCTGCCCCATACTTGAAATCCACTATTCTTCCAGGATTTCAGGTTCCCTTTACAGAGAAAGAGTGTTTAGAGACCAGTCAGGACTCTAAGGTGCTCATTGTTCCTGGGTTGTCCCTGCTTCTGGACATTTTCAGTGGATAAAGCTAGGAAATTTATATATTTTAGAAAGAATAAAAATAAATTTTCTCAGTACTTTCAGATGGGAATCTTCTTCTGGTTTGCTTTGTTATTAATGCGGACATTACCTTTGTTCCTCTGTAAGTAACATCTTTTTTTTCCTCTAGCTGCTTTTAATATTTTCTCTTTATCACTGGTTTTCAGCAATTTGATTGTAATGTGCCTTGGCATAGTTTGTTCTGTTTATCCTTCTTACAGTTTGTTGAACGTCTTTTATCCGTGGGCTTATAATTTTCATCAAATCTGTAAAAATTTATTTGGAAATTTTTTCTTTTTTAATAAAAATATTTATTTAAGGAAATAATCCCCCCCCCCTGTTCGACTGCTTGACATTGTCCAACAAGTCACTGAGGCTCTGTTTGTTTTTCAGCCTTTTTTCTCTCCGTGCTTTATGTTGGATAGTTTGTATTGCTCTGTCTTTAAGTTCAGTGGACTTTCCTTCTGCAATTTCTTTTTTTTAAAGATTTTATTGGGGAATTGGGGGAGGGGAACAGCACTGGGGAATCAGGGGAAGGGGAACAGACAAGTTACTTTCCTTTTGTTCTTCAGTCTAGTTGTGCAGGATGTCGCTTCACTGGCCCATGTTGGTATTATCATTGCGCTTGTCCCGGGTGAGGCAGATAGGTTGCTGGCCTCTGGACGGCTGCTTACAGTGGCTCTTGGCAGCTCACTCGGGCTGCCGGCTGCTCACGCTGGCTGCCGGTCACACACAGTTGCTTATGGCAGCACACTGCAGCAGGGGCTGCAGCATACGCCGTCGCCAGGACTCACGGCAGCCCAGCTCCAGGTCGAGCTGTTATTCACCATCTTAGCTGTAGAGGGCAGTGTCACCAGCCTCCATGTGGGATCCAAACCGGGGCCCTGCTGCTCAGAGCTGGCGTCCCAAGCCAGCTCTTAACCAACGCACCACTCGGCCGGCCCTCCTTCTGCAATTTCTGATCTGTTAAGATCCATCATTTAATTTTTCATATCAGGTATTATCCCTTTCAACTCTAGAAGTTTTATGGGGTTTTTTATTTAATTTTTTTAATTAAAGTAGAATATATATGCAGAAAGTTACAATTATATTTATACATTTTTTATTTCTCCCACTTTTCTCTTCATTATGTTCATATTTCCCTTTGTACATTTTGATATTTTTCATTTGTTTTAAAGTCCATGTCTGCTAATTGCATCATGTCTCTTATTTCTGGCTCTGTTTATATTGACTGATTTTCTCCTGGTTTCCTGCTTCTTCCCATGTCTTTTCATTTTTTTACTGGAATGATGGAAATTTTGAACATTATATTGTTGAATGTCTGGATTTTGATGTCTTCCTCCAAAGAGTCTGGTAGTCAGTTAATTTACTTGAGGACAGCCTGATCCTTTTGAGGCTTATTTTTAAGCTTCATTACTGCAAATCTAGAGTAACCTTTATCTAGGGCTAGTTTTGTCCTGCTTTTAAGGCATGGCCCTTCTGGGGTCTTTACTGAATGCCCCAAGCATTCAACCACATCTCTCTATTCTGGTTGGTGAAAACTCAAGCAACTATGTGAGCTCAGGTAGCTGTTCCACTTTCAAATTCCCCAGGAGCTGTTCTTCCCCAAGTAATTGTTTGTAGGTCTTGTGAAATCTCATTTTATGCAAAGACAGCTTACTTTTCAGCCTCAAGGGTCCTCTATGCAGATTTATGGAGCTCTTTCTCAGCACACTTCCTCCTTTCTGATAATCTGCTCAGCAAACTCCAGCCTCCCTGAACTCCAATCTCTGTGTCCTTATTCTCAGCCAGACTGCCTTGCTCTCCTTGTATCCTGCACTGGAGCTGGGCAGAAAGCCTGGACAATCATAACACTTTCCTCATTTGATTCTCATCCCTCAGAGATCATTCCTGCCCTATTTACTGTCTAATTTCTGAAAGTAGTTGTTATATTCAGACCAGTTTTCTAGTAGTTTACAGGTAATCTGATGCCAGTTACTTCACCATAACCAGATTGGAAGTTCTCTTTGTAGTAACTCATTTTTATCATACTTTTGTAAAGCATTGGTCTACTTCAAACTAGAAATTAAAAAAACAAAACTGCTTCTTTGTGGCAGACAGACAGAAGTATTGCTATCTAAGCTTATAGACCATTATAAGGGCTTTAACTTTTACTCTAATATGAGACATTACTGAAGGGTTTTGAGCAGAGGTAAGACATGATGTAACTTAAATTTTAATAGGATCATTTGTTCTATGGAAGATAAAGTGCCCGAGAGCAGAGGTAGAAGCATCTAACTGAGAAGGCATTCCAGAGGAGAGACAAGAGAGGCTAGGAAAATAGTAGTAACAGTAGAAGTGGTAAAAACTAGCAAGATCTCAGGCAGACTTTGAAGCTGATCTAATAATCTGACAGTTTAGATGGGAGAAGAATCATGGGTTCTGACTGAGTAACTAGGAGAATGGGATTGCCCTTAACTGAGATGGTGAAAACTATGGGAGAAGTCGGCTTGGTGGGGAAAGATACAGAACTTGGTTTGGAGCACGCTAGTTGTGTGTATTAAATATCCAGGTGACTGTACTCATTGTGAAGAGGTTAGAGCTCAGGGAAAAGGGCTGGGCCAGGAAAGTAAGTTTGGAAATCACCAGTAT